TTCCAGTTCTGTCCCAAACCCTGTGGCCCCAGAGCACAGACACCCTGAGCTCAGCATGAACAGAGACCCTGCCTCCAGGATGGGCAATCAGGGCAGGTGATGGGTCAGCACATCCAGAAGGAAAACCAACACGGCAAAGTGTCCTGGAAGCTTCTAGAGGCCCAGGAGCAGCCCAAAGCAGCCTGTGGTGGACAGCAGGGTGGGAGTGGTCTGGGCAGTGGTGAGGTGACCGAGGCAGGGCGATAGTGCTTTTCGAGCTGGCACGACAGTACGCTCGATGTTGCCACAGGCCCAGGCTGACCTTGGCGGTTTGTGTCTTCATTTGCAGGTCAAGGTGCTGAGTGGATAGCATTTAAGTGCCCAGGGACCTCATCATCACCCTGAGTGTACCTCAGTCTTCATGTGCTCACCAGACAGTTCAACATTCCTCCTGTCTCCACTGCTGACCCCACTGGTCTGGAGGTCAGGCTGGGCCCAGGCTGGGGTCCTCCCGGCTCATGGAAGCCAGTGCTGTGGCCTCAGAGCACCTGCCACTCCCCCTCCATCCCCTTTCTCCTCCCTGCCTCCTCTTCCTCTTCCTCGTCTCCCATGGGCCCCCCTGCCCAGGAAGGAGGTTGCCCCCCAGTGAGGCCTCCAGGCTTCAGGATCTTGGTTTGGTCTGATGGGTTCAGAGTGGACCTTGACACTGACATAGAGTGATGGCCTGTGCCCCTCCCTCCCCCTGGTTTTGTGTGAATCGGCTCCATGCACAGCTTGGGTGGTCCCCTGCTCTGTGTCTGGAACCAGCTTCCTCTGTCCCCAAGGACAAGCAGAGGCAGGGCCTCCGGTGCAGGCTGGCGGGGCCCTGGGGGCACTGGCCGCAGGGGAAGGACACCCAGATTCCGAGCCATCGAGGGAAAGCGATAGGATGAAGGCCGGTGGGTTTGGCCACCCAGGCCTGAGAGCGGGCCAGGCTCTGGTCATTATGGGGCACGTGGAGGCCAAGCTCAGAAGGCCCCAGCACCCAGGGCTGAGCATCCCTGATTTCCTGGCTCTCTTCCCCAGGCCTGCTCCTGAGGCGTCCACACTGCCCCCCCGGCTCTGGTGTGAGCGGGCCGCTGTCTGTGAGGTGCTGGGGGCACGTGTGGGGGCCCCAGCCAGAGGTAGGCCCAAGTCTGTGAGGTTCCGGGGACATTCAGCAGGCAAGGATCAGGGGTCAGAGCTGCAGGTGGCAGGGGGGCTCAGGAGGCATCAGGATACAAATCTGGCCCCCCAGAGCTCGTCTTCTCCCGGGGACCCCAGGGCCAGGGCCTCTGTCCTTGCAGTTCCCCTTGCTCAGCCCAGGGAGCCGGGCAACCGCTCAGGCTCTCTCCGGGCCCCCTGCTCTCTCTGTGGACTCCCTGCTCTCTGCGGGCAGCTGGGAGTCGTTCCCTGGTTCCGGGGCCACCCAATGAGGCGGCTGCCACCCACCGCGTTCCGCCACTTCCCTGACACCAAGTGGGGGTCGGTCCTGTGTGGGGGCTGGGTCTCATCATCAGGAACCCCGACTCCTGGGACGTTCCTCTGTGCTGGGCAGACCAGGACAACTGGTCACCCAGGCCGGGGTTTCTGGCTGGACCGGCACACTCCGCTGCCCTGGGGCTGCCCAGGGGAGGGATGCTGTGGCTCCTAGATGCCTTCTCAGGTGCACCTGGAGCATCCTGGGCTCCTGGCCCCCAGGGACCCCTTCAGAGCTGTTCCCCTGTGGTTTTACTCAGCTCCCAGGAGCCTCCTGACCCCAGGCTGACCCTGTTGGCCTCTTGTCCCATTCCCCGAGGTCGCTGGGCCCCTCCAGACCCCACTCTCTGAACAGGACACTGGGCCTGGCGCCCATGGAATGTCTGCCTGGTTGTCACAGCATTTGGGTGCTCAGGCCTCCCCACGTCCATGCCTCTCTTTCTCTGGGGTCGTTGGCCCCTGGATAGGTCTGGAGCTTTCTGGGGGCACTTGTGACCCTGAGACAAGCAGCCTGAAGTGTGACCAGAGGCTCCTGCACACCCAGGGATCAGCAGAGAAGCTGCATTGACTGTGGCCAAGTTTGCAACCCCAGCTCATTCACCCGTGGCCCCCGGGGCCGAACCCCACACCCGCGGGCACCACAAGCCCACCCCATCCAGGCTCAGGTCTTCGGGTCCAGACCCTGCTGGCTGCATTCTGCTCCCTCTGGCAGATGGCCTGGGCCCCTCCCTCCCTGTGTCTGTGCCTCTGTCTCTTTTGCTTGAGGGCCCACGGGGTGGGGGTGGGGCCTGATGCGCAGTGTCCCTCCCTGGTTCTGCCTCGCCTGCAGCAGCCAGGAGCCTGGGGGCCTCACCCAGAATGCCTGCTCAAGCAGGAGGCTCACACAGGAGGCTCCCAAGGCAGCAGCCTTCTCTCTAGATTAAACTCCCCCGGAGAGGGGGAAAATGTCATGTTTCAACTGGCAATCACCAACATCCCCCTGAAAGGACACAGTCCCCTTCGTCCCCAGAAACTGGCCAGACAAGCAGATGGGCCCCAGAGCCTGTGGAGGCAGCCTGGGCTGGGTCACCGAACCCCCTTGGCCTGAGCTGAGGGGGCTGTCCAAAGCTCTTCTGCTCCAGGTGATGTGGATTCACAGAGAAGGCCCTCAGCTGCTGGGCTTCCTCCCTCCTGGGAGCTGTTGGAAAACCTCAGCCTGTGGGACTGCCGTGCAGCCGCCCAGCCTGATCTGAAGGCAGCCAGGCTCAGGGACATGCCTGGTCAGAGACTTCCCTGTGTCAGGGGACGGAGGCCCTGGTCATTGTCTTCCCAGGGACAGGGGCACGGAGGGACCTGGTCAACGTCTTCTCGGAAACAGAGGGAACTGGCCAAAAAGGGCTCAGACGATCCATAGACCCAAGATGCTACAGAACCAGGAGGGTCCATAGTGACGACGGCCAGGAAACCACCTGTCTCCCGAAGGGCCTGCCGGAGGCGTCGCCCCCCATACACGTGACCAGGTGGGGAAGTCCAGGTTCCTGGGACAGAACTTCAAGTAGGAAGCCCGGGCTCCCTTTGGTTGCAAGGCAGTGGCCCAGCCTCCACCACCCGCCCCTCCCTGAGCCCCTGAGCAGCCCTGTCCTGACACGGACCTCAGCCGGTCGACCCGGAGCAGCCGCTCTTTTGTTATAAGCCAGCGCGCACCGGGAGGGAGGACGGCGGTGGGGGCCCCCGGGGCCTGCGGGCGCGGAAGCTGTGCAGCCCGGAAAACAGTCCGGCAATTCCTGCAATACCATAGGAGCCTCCCCACGGGATGAGAACATCTCTGCACACAGACGTGCACACGCCTGCTCAGAGTAGTGCTGTCCCTGCTGGGGGGGGGGGGGGGGCGCAGGCCGTCCCTCCGGTGACCCCCCCCTGGGTACTCAGCTCTAAGACGGGACGGAGTGCTGCGC